TGAAGTTGTACAATTAACGCAGTATTATCACGAATTCTATTTTGTATAACGGATTTGTTGTTGAATGAATTTCAGCATGACAGTATAAAATGAATCAAAAGTGCGATTATGGTAGTCTTTGTTGGTTGTTCGAAGAAACTGGCGCTCTGGCAATACTGTGAATGAATTTACCCCTGTTTAAGCTGTGTCCTTGTATTAGCTCGTTGAACCTGACTGACATTCTAATGAACGACCTTGCTGGACTTCTTAAAGAAATTCTTGAAATCTACACCCAGTTAATATTGAACAACTTCAACAGCACACAGCGACCACCTATTATTAGGAAGTGTAAGGCAACCTGCTTGGCGCCACGTGCACGGAAAGGTAGTTTAAAAAAGAGTCATTATTTACTACACTATTGATGAGTTCTAAGTTTCTGCCTCGATATTGTCTGTGAGCGTGTGAAACAGATCCCAGTAATTGCTGAGAGTCAAACGGGTACACTGAGAATAAAATCATTGTAATTAACGGATCCCCCTACGTGCCTTGAATTACGTTGCCTTGGTTTGGTTGGGTGCCTTGGACTTTGGGCTATATACCTTCAGATTTCCGAGAGATATTTTTTCTGTCAAAATGGTCATCCAGTATTCCAATTCCCGCTTTTTTTTTAATCGCGTCGTTTCCCATCTCCGGTGCGACAATGCCATCAGAAGAAACCCAATCTACTACTCACCTCGGTCGTGCGAAGGGGGTTTGTATTACCATCGCCTTCAAGACTCGGATCATTTAAAGAAACAGTCATGTGTCCTAACGAGTAGCGCTACAAAACCCGAAGTGATTTATAATAAAGGGGGAAAGTGCACAAGGATCACGAGCAAAGGCTACTGATAACGTTGATAGCTTGTCGGCATGTGTTACCATTTGTCTTTGTTGAGACTGATGGATGAACGTCCTCTCGATATATCTATACGGAGAATATTGCCAAAAATGTAATCAACGAAATCCTCGCAGGTGGCTTCAGTGCGGTTTGCTTTTTTGCGTCTGATCAACTGCAGCTACGGTCTTTACGAGAAATTTCTAATTAGAACTGACATTTGGGTACTTTTGTGACAAAGAGTAAAAAGGTAAATGTCCTCTACATGTCCTCTTAGCACCAACGACCTCGACCTCAATGTTGATTTGGACTTCGTTCGTTGCCAAAGCGAAGCTGCACTCTCTGTTACCATGAAAAAAGATACGTAATTAGGCAAGATATCCGCTGTGGATGATCGAAGGTCGTTTACGTACAACCTCCCTTTCAACTCTGCTCATAATGGGACCAGTATGGCATTGGGCCATGACACTGCCGCTATTTCAGGGCCATTCAACAAGTTTGCAACCTTCACGTTTTCCGCTACAATTCAGGTTTTGAACCCATTTTAACTAGCATCAAAGCAGATAAAACTGTCACTCTCTGCTAGGATGACGAACAACCCTTTAAGATTGTCTGGAGCCACTCCCAAACAGGTGCGGAACCAGTCTTGTACACCAAGCCGCAAGTATAATATCAGCGATCGTGCTATCTTGCGAACCATACCGTGCTTATTCAATGATCGGTTAAAGCAAAATCTCATGTAAGTAACCTTTCTATATGCAACACCTTTGAGGCTTTTACTTCGACGGAATCGCAAAGAAGCTAAACTTCGGCCCCCTTTTAAAACCACCAAAGAACACCTCGGGCTTTTTGATTCCCATTGTAAGTCGGGCTTTATAATTATAAAGACCGCGGGCTGTAATACTGCATTGTATGAAATGCAATTGAGTTGAATTTCGCAGACTGTAAATGTAATTGACGGCTGTTGGGATTCTTGCGTGCAAATCCCTTGATCCTTTGCACCCCTGATTTAATTTGTACGAATGGATCCGGCATGAAATGGATTTATATATTCGGTGCGTACCTGTATTGGCACCGACACAAGGGGTTACGAAACGTATCCAATGGATTTCAGTGACATGGGTCCGCAATCACCAGACAGTATTTTGTTAATTAAGTCAAGCGGGGAACTTTACAAAACAAATTTATTGACATATTCATGATACGAGAGCATGCATCATGTTTTCATTTGAAAACACGTATTCGTGTTGAGCGATTGGATACATTTGACAAGAATCACTGGAGGTTGTCATTCCTTTCGATGACACATTGGACACCTATTAACTTTGCACCGAAGTGAAAACAATGTTTTGTCTCACCCATTCTTGGTGTATCATTGAAAGATTTATTATATACGATGAAAAAGACATATGGATGTGCTTGATATGGTTTCCTGTACAGTCAGCTAGGCGTACATTTTCTGACAGTAAATCTGCGCATATATACAAAGTCATGTTCAGACTTGTTTGATTTCTGATTGAATCATAAATTTGCAATGACCTGGTTTATTCCAAGCATAAAGCATTTAAAGACTAGAAAATAACCAATCACACCGCCAATTGGGCGTTGGGCAGCATCGGGTTTAAACTATCAGCTGTTTCTTTGAGACGCTAAGGAGACATCCAGAAAAAAAATGATGATAGTGGCACCTGCATTGAACACTATTGAGGTATTCTCGTAGGAGTACATAAAGCACAACCTGTCTACGGCGGTTGACTTTTACATATGGGGAATCGCCATGATATACAGAATCGAATTCTCAACAACTCTCCGTCCGTTGCACAACGAAAACACTTCATAATGACGTTAATATAGAGGGGAAAGTGTGCGCCTTGATGTATTTTGAAGTAGGCATAACGCACAATATTTGGTGCGCATTTAAGCAATAATAATATTGCCTTCAGCCTAGGATTTTCCAAGCAGGCCTGGTGTATCACTTTAGTATAGTGAGTGGTAATATGTCAGCTTTGGGGATTATGTTCGGTAATCATGCTAATCACATTATGTGTGAGGCTAGTAATTCTACTCGCTTATTAATTAATTTCTAAGCGGTTGGGGATGGGCAGTACAGGCCTGTTAGTATGCAGCAAAAAAACATGTCTGTTGCCCATGAGAGATCTTATTGCTGGCAATTTAAAACTTCTATTTCAGAACTTGACTAGACACTCGGTGATTTTGTTTGCATTCGGCGAACCGTTGAAACTAACAGCCATCCTCTGTGCAATGTGATACAAAAATAAACTGACCAAATTCGTCCAGGTCCCACACCCACGTCTCCCAAGCTACCAAACTATACCTGCAGGTATAGCGCCCACCGCGTAATGCACCGACCGTTATGAACCCATTCCTTTAATGATGTCCCATTTCCCGCGATCTTAAGCTTTTCACGCCGAGTAACACCTCCAAAATGTTCCTTGGAGGGTCACAACGCCCTCCGCCTCCTACGCCACATGGGCTGCTTAATGCGACATCAAAAGTCCACCGGGGATAAGGGCTAATTCAGTTTAACCACACATGCAAGCTATAATGCGTCCGAACACGTGGGGCGGTGATTTTTTTTTTTTTTTGCGGCCGACTTGGCGCCAAAAAGCGTGAACACGCCCGACGGCCATTTCAATCAATCCATTCCCCGATCGCAAGATATAGACAAGATGTTGATTCCCTCGATCCGGTAATATGAAGTATCCTTCGGTCAACAATTCTACAATGGGATATGTCATCGATCACCGTCTCTGCAATGTCACGAGACATCCACTTTTCTAGCGATGTAACTTGCAGCGAGTGACTTTTAATCAAAAGGAACTCATGCATTTTAATTTTGATGTTTGTCTCATGCAGAGCGCTTCCTGTGGCATTCTTAATTGATGGATATTCGTATGAAGCATTATGCCCCTGGCGGTCAACAAACTTTCCAGTGTGTGTTAATCCTCTGTTCGAAGCGTCAAATAAAAGATTTTGTGAAAGATATTGGCAGAGACTGTTAATATTGTGGTCCCACTGGACGTCATCATAAATTGATAGACATCTCCTAAATGCCGAATTTGTTTACGAAGAAAACCGAGAACATGCACTCTGGACTTGGCTTGGGGTAGTACACGCGATTGTGTCGGTGTCTGATGCAGTTCAGTCAAGGGAATGCTTAAGTCATATTCCACACCGTAGAGATCGCACTAAATGGCTGATCGTATGGTTCCCAGTCAGCTCTGCAAAGGTCATGTCGTGCAAGTGCTGGCTCAGTATCAATCTAATAGAGATGAAAATGGGTTGGGGAAAACCATACCTCTCAAGCAATTGACCAACTGTTTTGTTTGTATGTATAGTCCTTGGTATAACACATTTCGCATCCATTGAACAAATCCCACCATTATGCGAATGTCAAAGAAAACATACTGGAAGATATACATTCATGACGAAATCAAAAAGAAACATGTAGCCTCAGGTTTTTATCAGTCGATCATGCCAACAAGCGAAACCCTTTTTGTGTAAAAGGTAATTGTCGCAGAAGTGCTTTCCCCTCAACGAAGTCCGAGTACTTGACTCCTGAGCCACGGAGATCTGAAAAATTAAGAGGGTCCTTGCAGTTAAGCCGTTTGTCGGTTGTCCGTCTCGCTTCGCTTCCCTAACACCCAACCACACTTCCGCAATTTTCTGAGATTCGAAAACAAAATTGGACTCTGCGTGTTCTGCTTCTTAATCCATTTTAAGCTTCCAACACTGCATGTCAAATTAACAAAATGCGGGGGTTGCATGTTGTTACTTGAGAATATGGCTATTACTCATTAAAGTGGGAATGCATTTTGACCTCGACTCAGTATTGTTTCTAATCCAGCTGTTTCTAGTTGGTTTATAGTTATGGGTGTAGGTTTGTGGTTGTGCTATGAAAATAAATTGCTTTAATTTGTGTTTCTGAGAATACCAGTTGGAACTATATTATTATTGAAATTTTGCTAGTTCTTTATTCTGTGTCAACTAATTCATTTCACCTCAAAATTTCATTCACACTTTTCACGGATTAAGTCAACACGCAACCTAGTATGAAGAGGACAATAATGAGAAAGCCAACCCTCTTATTTTTCCACCAGACAGAAAAAAAAACACCATAAGGCGATTTGATTAATCCTCAGAATATCCTTTAATGGGCAATTTGTGTTTCACAAGCATGAAACTCATTGATGTACAAATGGCGTTTCGTGTAATGACGAAACGTGAGAAGTGTGACCGTAAATTCTCATATAGACCATCCGTTGTAACACCCATCAGCTGACATATGGGACACATCGTGTTAGTGTATTGGTAATGAGCCAAAACCTAATCATAGAAGTCTTGTGTTACGTGTTACTTGTTCTAATGATGGGGATTCTGTTTCAAATGTTCCAAAAGAAATGCGTCTCCAGCAGCTATGATTAACGGCGCATTTCCCGCCAATTTTTCGCGTCTTCAGACGCCCGATGAACGCAAATTTACCTCCCAAACCGTGTTTGTGAATTGTTAGTTCCCAGCTCTGGTTTCACGTCTCCTCGGGGCTCTGATGATGACCAGCGTGAATTGTCTACAGATAGTCGGAATTTATAGCTTCTTCCTGTCCTTAAATTATACGTTGGCGAGGCGCCACGCCACTTTGGAGCGACCAAGAGCCCTCAAGCAACGATTCGAAAATTTATGCCTTGTAATTAGTGTTCTACTGATAAACAAACTTTTAACTTACTATTTCCCAGTAAAAGAGGAGTCAAACAGTAACTCATTCTTGAAACCCACAGGGTAAGGGGCACCTAGAGTCGATTAGTCCAATGTCGGTTGGTTGCAGCTCATAGCTTTATTATTGCAGAATTCAGCATGGGGTGTTTTGTGACACCATTTTTCAATGCATCGGCCGTTGCACGTCGAATTGTCCACTTGAATTGGCTCTTTAGGATGTGACAGCTACACGCTTGTATCCCGTCGAAGACCTGAACCAGTTACCCTATACCGGAAAAACAACAAGATTTTTTTCTTCAGATTTTAATGCGGCATTTGCAATAAGAACGTATTTGGTACTATAGATAATTCGTATTATTCTAACATTATTGTTTTGATGGATTAAAAATATATCAAAACCGCAATTGAAGAGGGTAATGTTTGACTTTTGTTTTTACTTGACGTGTAGAGTATTTCGTAAAGGATATCCACCAGATGAAAAATAAAACTGGAAGATATGCAGGTGGAGTAAACAAAGACTGTAGAATATCTCACAAAGGTATAACATTTCATGATCACATATGATACGCTGAACCGTAAAGGTTTAATCTCTTAGTAACAACCCCTTCAGACACAGTGGCGAGGAAGCACACCGACTTTAAGGCGCAATTTCTGAGACTTGCAAGATTGTCTCGTTTGAGTCACGGTTCCTGTGGTTACTTCGAGAGGGACGTGTAAAATTTTCATCAAGAGGAGGGAAGAAAATCTGCCTGTCGAGAAGGGCATAATATCAAGAGACATCTTATTGCATTAGTATATGGGTGTCGTATCTGCTTCTGGAAAAGCGATATGTTTGTCCAAAGAGCATGGTCTGTTTGTATGTCGAGCCACTTCCATTGTTTGTGTTTCTGCGTTTGACATGAACCATTTCAAGTCCCGCTACGCCTCGTGAAACGTGAATGTTTGGGTTTCTACTTGATGTTGCGTTATGTTTGTGGCATGTCGTCTTGGGCAGCTACGGTTTACGGTCGCTCAAGAAAGTTTGGCAAACTGAGTTAGTATTTTGCCTATAGTGTCGGTCAACATACCAAGTGCCTACTCTCTTTCAGTGGCGCACCCGGGGGACGGGGGCCTCGGGGGCCTTTCTTGTATGTTTTTGTAGTCCCACGATTTGGCCTTGGTGATATGAATGTGGCCTGTTTTCGAGTAGTATATTAGGGGTGTAAGTGGCACCATCAACGTCAAAATAGGCCGCCCCTAAAAAAAACCAATTTTTTTTCTGCGGCCAAACATTTATGGGAATTTTTTTTGGAAAAAAAAATCAACTTTTAACAAATTTGTAAAAAAAAAAAAAATTGAGCCCCCCCAAAAACCAAATTCTGGGTGCGCCAGTGCTCTCTTTGGCAGATTGTTCCCAAGATGGCAAATTTGTACCCAAATTTAGTAACAATTGAGGTAATCTTATGCCAGATCCATTAAAACCATAGAGCTATATTAAATATGATTAAAACAATATTACCCAACAGTTTTCCCCAACTTTAATTCTCAGTGTATACTATAGTTACATGTTGGAATGGAGCCAACATGTTGAGTCAAATACACCTGTCCGAAAAGAGGGTATTTGAAATAACATTATACAATCATTATTTTTCGCTCAACTTAATTTTTTTATGCGAACGAAGCACTGCTACGTACATGTGCGCACTCACAATGCACATTACTCTTATCATCTATATTTCGTAAACGTATTTCGAAAATCAATGTGCACGACGTTACGGACGGACGTAGACAATTTGAGTTCTTCCAAAATGATTGGGGGAAACAAGGCTTGTTGTGATTCGGTAGGTGATATTTACTTTTCTTTGTCGTTTCGACCAACTGTGCCGATGTGTCCAAATATGAAGTATCCCGCTGCAGCACCAACCGCCATAGCCGTTGCCATGAGGACGGGCTTTGAGTTGAGCAAGGCACAGGGGCAAAACGTCATGGTATGGGACTAGTTGTCGTCTAGTGTTGTTCGTTTACTGGAGAAATATAGAACAGACTGCATTGGATAGTCTGTTTATATGTGTATTGTTACATACCCTACAATTTGTTACTTAACTTCTTGCTTAAAGGTCTAATGCAATGTAATTTTTTTAATGGTATTCTTGAAAATGCACCATTGTGTCCCATTTAGGCCTAACCTCATTTTCAATTTTCGTTTTGCCATTTTGAAGGGTATTTTGGTGCCTTTTTGGTTTTCATGCTTATGTAAATCTCCATATTCATGACCAAAACTATGATGTCATTCCGGGTAGAAACTTCAATGTTACAGCTATTTAAGCCCAAAAAGTTGCTAGAATTTCGGATGTTTGCTATCATAAATTTTCTTTGTTTTTGATGATTCATTGTTTCGTCAGTAAATGATAAGCCAATGAGCCCCACAAAATGTTTTCACTTAACAAAATGTTTAGGTTCACAATTTGAACAGAAAACCCCAGCCGAAACTAAACAGTGTCTTCCTGAAATGACATCACAGCAACAGCGTCCTCAGTTGTCCGGGGAAAAACATGCACTATTGCCAAAAAGGCATGTCAAATAGTTTTCATACATTTTAAGAGGAGTAGAAAGTTGCACAAAATGTGTTCCTCAGAAAAAATCATTGCATGAACCCTTTAAATGATGGTAGAAATATTAGATCTAAATATCAACTGCCTGCATTTTTGGCAAATTTTGAAACAAGAGTGTGGGGATAATTACATGCCAATATAGGCTTATTGATAGAATAAGATTTCGCAAAGCCTTCACATAGCAAATTATATTCTTTGATTCCCAATTTAACCCAATCACACGGAGACAGAATACTTAAACTTTGCGTAGTTGAATTAATAGCCAAGTTGACATAGAACATTTGCGGTAATAATTGGAAAGATGTTGGTTTTTGGGAAGACGCACTGGCAACGCACATACACCCACGTTATCTCAAACCGGTATATCTTTCCCCCCACAAATATTGGGTTTTTTTCTCTCGCGTCGGGCTTGTGTCAGTTTGTAGGAGCCGTAGTGTTAATCCTGTCCCGCTAAATAAGTTTTTGGGAATTTCTTCCTCCAATTGTTAAATGACTGAGAAAATCTGAACAATCACAGTAATTATATCGCTTCATCAAATTGTTGCTTTAACGAGATTATTGAGATTAATATATGTCTCAAAAATTAGGTTTTGCCCTTCACCGACGTATTAACACTGCACCTCCCCAGTGAAAGTTGGCAAAAATCACTCGGGTGGGACTCGAACCCACGACCTCCTGCTTTCTAGTGCAGATGTCTTAGCACTCGACCACCGAGCTAACGGGATCGGTTGGCCTGTTCGAATCTAATGTACATAGAAGCGGGTACAGCATTAACTATTCATAAGATGGATATGTCTCCTTACCTGACTTGTTCATGAAGTGGTACAAATTAACTTCGCTAGATTACGATCCCTTTGTGTGGACCCATGGATTTCTATATCCGACAATAAGAAAGAAAAGTTTCATCCCTTTTGAATTTACATGAAGTAGGCCTACAAATAGTTTATATACTTATGATCAAACACTTTATACTCTTTTTGTAAGAACATCAGGCTTGTCACATAAAAAAAGACAAATACCTTACGTTTTATATAGAGCGAAATGCGTTTCACTGGTTGGAAAATCGAATCTTGCAGACGAATGTGATGTCTCGATTATATGTTTTGTTTGAAATGTTTGATGCATTGTGACGTATCACATTATGCTACCTCAATCGTCGCGCATGCGTACGCGCGCGTTCTTATTGGCGACGGCTGTTTCATGCATGATTGATTGTCCTCGCTCATGTCAGTTACACGTATTCCATTTCGTTCCATCATCTTAATGGCAACAACAGGCCTACTGTCTTAATACATGAGATTTTCGAATGCATTTGTACAGTCATTTATTAACTCTGCGGCAGTGACTTTGGCTTTGTCACCAACTCTGCTGCTATTTCAAAGACTTTGAAGTATAAAATTATCTGAGAGATTTTTGCGAGTTATCCAAATATATAGTTAAAGGGAAAATACAACATTTGCAAACATCAAAAAATAAAACTACCAAATCATTTTGAAATACCTTGCTGGACTGTTAGTGAATGACAGTGTAAAGCATCCTGTAAAATCATGGCACCTGGTATACTGTCATTTTCAAGAAAAGTGGTATTTTTGTATCAATTTCCAACGCTGATTGGCCGACCAGCGTCGGAAAAAACTGGCTTTTTTCGAATACTGGCCCCAGTTGACCATCGCACTTGTTTGCAATCGATTACACACCTATGAACGGGTACAAGCCAGCTAGACTGGTTCCCTGACCTTACAATTCCCCAATGTATGTAAACTGCTGTTTCTTCTTAAATGGAGTCAGGGAACCAGACCACAGGAAAATGATTGTTTTTCTTGGTTTTTATAGCATTTTCGAACCCAAAACCTCAAAAAAAGTCAGTGTAACTATATTTGCTATATATTTCCAACCCCCCAATTCCATCCATTTCTGAAAATTACAGCAAAAGCAAATGATGTGTATTCCCTTTAAGCTCTTGTAAAAACGTCTACAATGAACCTTCACTGAAATATGTTGAAAATTATGCAATCCGACCTCTGTGCAGCCTGGATGGATTTATCCAAAAATATATGAAAGTCTGTAGGTTCTGGTTTTCAAATTAAGCTTCGGATTAAGCATCATTCATCAAGAGGTAAAATAAGCCGGCAAGTTATCCAAGGAGCCGACAAATTCTTATCAGAATTATCAACACGTCTTCGGCTTCTTGCCCATCTGTAGCATCTCAATTTGTTTAGAATCCTGTGATGTTTGAATAAAATGCAAATACTGCAAATTATTACTATCATTATACGACCGTGTTGACTTTCGCCGAAAGAGGGCGTACGCTTAAATCAAGTCACGAGTGTCGTCGGCAGAGGTAGTGCGGATTCTGGATGATCGTTTTGACAATCTCTTGCAATCGGCACATGTTTGTTCTCGTGTCCTAATGTCTCGACGTTGCTTGCCTTGCCTTGCTCGCTCGCTGTTTTATTGTTTCTATATGTACAAACACGCTCTTCTGAGAGAAGTTCTTCTGAGAGTATAGAAATGAATTTGTGAGAAATGGATATTCCTTTCTCGATTAAAGTTGTACAAAAGTGAATGTGCACTTAGAAAAGATGACTAACATCCGATTACACCAGGATGATTGTTTCCTGTTCAGGTTTTCAGATCGGGTATACCAATATGTAAGTATATATGAAATCCTACAGGGGCTTTATGGCTGCTGCAGCAGTAAATTGCAATGGGATTATTTAGAAGCTTGTAAGAGCATGTGTTACAGGCCTTTGCTTACGTCACACACCGTAGAGGAACAATCTACTACGTCCTTATCTTAAAGGGTATTCCATTTGAAGTGAACGTTCGAGCAAACCAAGTGTCAGACTAGAGGTGTTCACGTCATCATAAGATATCAAGTTACGTTTACTCATTTTTAAAGGATTTACTCTTTTGCTCATATTCAGGCATCCGGCCGAACTTTCTCGATGATGACGATGAAGTACATGACATCGTTCACTGTCTCTCTGTGCGTACATGACAACAATACAGGAGCACATCTGGAAGTTAACGGGACAATGTGCATTCGCGTGAATTTCCCGATTCATGGTAAAATTCTAAATTCTGTATAAGCATGTAAAAAAAAAAGATAGCCAATACAATAGAAGAGATGCCGACGAATTCTGTCATCTGAAAAGTGCAACTTCGTTAATAGGTATAATCCCTTTGGGAGACACTTGAGCGCCATAAGTAATTCCTTCGGGAGACATGTCGAATTAAGGAGACATTTTAATGTCTCCCTTATTCCACATCCCCTAGTACTTAAAGGCACATTTTTAATGTCGCAAATAGGCTAGATTCGATTGCTCGTAGTCCAGTTAGTAAAAATACCGAAATTCGTGGGGTAGGATAAGGTCAAACTGGGGTCAGGGGTCATTAAAGTTGGAAAAAAATGTGTGCACAAGTCTATGGGAATGTCTCCCTAATACCCAATTATCGGTAATTATTATTATCACAATTATTGTTAATTCATAAATACCTCAGACAGTTTAGCCATTCCTATTGGTCGAGAGCCCGTCACGTGGCCGGTATTAAACGGATGATAAAGACATGGCTAGCTGGTCTTAAACACTTTTCCAGTGTCACAACAAAATGTGGACTCCTAAAAATCCAGTGCCTCTTAACGTTTCATTGGTTGAACGTTCACAATCCTCACGTAGGCATGCGCAACACTACAAACGAGACAGAATTTTATAGTTCTAAATTCAAAACGCAACGCCCCAGGTGCGTTCTGCGTGACATCGCGCAGAACATGCTACGCGCGCGTCAATCTCCATAAAAGGGTTGTTTACATCTTACTCGCCAGCTGAACACTCCATTATTTTGCTAGAGGGATGTTTCAAAAAGCATGAAGTGAACTTTTTGAACAAAATCGGGATTTTTTGAACGAATTATTTGATATTTTTTTACGGATAAGGTATTTATGAATGGGAATAAATATGTGCTCGGTCGGTATTTATCACTCTGTTTAATACCGCTTAGAGTCTGGGTGCTGATAATTACCCTCGCCTCCGGCTCGGGTAATTATCAGCACCCAGACTCTAAGCGGTATTAAACGAGTGATAAAAACCTCCGGAGCACACATTTATTCCTTTATTAATACGCTATACTTCTTTCTGGAGATATAACGCAAACAGCGCACAACTCGAATGCATTTATTTGAACCCGTTCGTTGCTAAAATGTAGTCATATTAAAACAAAAGGTCGTGCCGGTGAAAATTGTTGACAAACTTTATTATGAAATGTTCTCCAACATGAACTTGTATTTTATTCCATACAGGGACTACCACAGTTTACCTGCAAAGGGCTGAGCACGTCAACTATTACTTGCTATCAATTTTTCATGAATTCTCATACGCCTTTCATGAGTTTAGTATACGTTGTTCTGGTTCAGCAAAACCTCACCGTGAATAGCCCTTTAATGGTTATTTTGTCACGGCCTTAGTTTGCAAAAACAAGACGACCAATGTGTAACCAGAGAAACGCATCGGACGGCTTTTCATCTTGTTTGGAGTGTACTTCAATCAAGGGCTAACTTCCCCTCTGCTGGACCACTTCAGCAAACAGCGACGAACAAACAAAACCATTCAATAACAGATTAGAGGAACCTTTGGCTTACGACAGGTAACATCAATTAAAGAAGGATTTTTCCTATCAAACTTTTTCAATATTTGTATATCCTTCACTTATGTAAATGTGAAAGGCTGGGGAACACGAAAGAGTAAACCTTCAGAATCTTCTTCCGTGATATGGTTTTTCCTACAAAAAAAAATACAGATTGAGACAAAAAGAAAGTGACCTATTGACAAAAAAATATGTAACAAAAAAATATGTGGTTTGCTCCATTTAATAAGATAACATAGGGATAAAGTACATATCATTGACAAGTAACCATGACAATTTCACGTTCACGCAATTTGCGTACCATGTTCACCAGTTATGTCTCTGTCACAAAATTCAGCTGTCCACCTCTGATCATTTACCGCTCAAATACAATAAAACAAGAGAAATTTCCTGCCTTAAATTAACAAAAATTTGATCAGGAATACGGACAATAATTACCATCACTATTTCAGAAAAAAATCCCCATATTCAAAACACAAAATCTAACAGGAAAAATAATGTTTCAGTCTTGACGAAAATTATAAACAAAATGTATTTGGATCTGAAAGCCTGTGGGTAATATCTGGTTCTCACTCAGCTCAAAAGCTTTAAATGGCATTCCATGGACAGTTGTAAAAATGCATTTTATCCTATTCATAACTTCTTATAGCATGGATCAATTTCAGGAATTCCTTTTTTTCCCCAAATGAGTGGAAGAACATGCTCGTTCAATATATGCTTTGTGTCAAAATGTACTTGTTTTGAAGGGGGAAATCATTAATCCACGTCACTTACTTTGTGTGTCACCCTGTACAAGGAGACTACAGTATTTCATTCAAGCTTTTGGAAAGTGTGTCATGGGCATGACAAAATTGTATTTTTGTAAAAAAAAAAATTGTCAGATTGGACTAGATCCTATTTTAGACCTTTTAAACAATTAAGGTGCAAGAAAAGAAAGAATTCCATCAATGTAGTGCAAGTCACGTGGACTGCATTCCAATGTAGTCGTTTTAGGGGAAATACTAAGAAAAAAAGAGCGACTTTCAGGGGAAATGCCACAGTGACTTAGCATGATTGGATTGGATACGTTAATTTCAAGAAAGAGAAAAGGTCGCTAAATTGAAAGACCGACAATTTTGCACGGTTTCGTGTGAGCTGAAAGTTTTTGCTCCCGATGACTCCCCGGGAAAACTGCACTGATGACGGCTGTCGATGGGCGAGCTACGCGTGATTACAAACAATAGGGACAGGAGAATTCGGCACGTGTCTTCGTACGCCATGACCCCGATCAGCGAGGTGCTTGAATTGCATGTGTTTTAAAGAATAATTGCTGAAAGCCTGTCAAACATAGCATCATTTTGATGAAGTAGAGGTCTAGAAGGAGAACATCCATCGAAAAAAGTGTCAGCTTCCTAAGGGCCAAGTGACATTCAAAGATGAAGCGGTTATATTACTTTACGGAGAGTAGTCGGACCAGTTTCCAAGGCG